TCTGCTCGAACGAGCCCTGCCGGAGCCGAGAATCATCACGAATCGATTGGGCCGAGCACACAGACAGCGGCTTCGCTCTACGAGCGGTGTGCCACTGCTACGTATGCCAGTATGACTCACAAGCAGACCGCTCCCGTGGCCCTTCCAGAGCTCGTTTCAAACTCCGGCGAGGCTTTGCCGCAAACAAGTCAAGGATGCCTGCCGGAGGACCGTCGTCGGCGTCCAGGGCATTCAAAGCAGGATGTAGAAGGGGCAAGGAGCAAGCAATTCGAATTTGTCAACGCGCATGCGCGTCTCATACAATGGCTACACGCGTGGACTCGCCTAAGGACCCTGAGTCTGCCTTCCAGAAAATTCTTCTACCGCGCGGCCGGATTGATCGGCACAGGCGTCTTGAGCGTCTGGCTGAGACACCGTGTCGTTACTCGGTGAGAGCAGTTTGGTGCCCTTCATCATCCGTTCATCTGTTTCGGTGAAGACACGGGGGACACGAACTGACCACGTGTGGGCGGTTGCAACAACGAAAGACGCCGAGCAATGGAGCCTTGCAAGGCGAACGCTATCACGAGACCCACTGATCGTTGGCCGTTGACCCGCTGGTGGCGGAAGAGATGAGAGGTGACGAAAGGATTGGCGTCGATGGCAGAAGAAGCCTTCCAGAAAACTTCTCGAAACAAGGATGCGCGCACATCGCCTCGTCCCACAGGCGTGTCAAACGAAGAATCTCCAGATGAGATGCGTAGGGCCTGGCCGCACGGACAGTATCGCCTGACGGGCAACAGAGAGCGTGTTCGGACAGGGATATTCCTGATGGAAGACATGGGATCCCAACAGCTGCTCAAGGCATCCCCCTATAATCTCGCCCGTTGTTGATGTGAGACGAGGTTTTCAAGGCTTAGTACGAGTTCGGCGCTCTGTACCTGCATATCGGAAGCGATTCGTTGGATCGGATCGAGAACGTTGAGCTTCCAGTGCGGCGCCAGGAGATGTAAAATGGGATCCATTTCCAGAAGGCTTCTCTGGCCTGAAGAACTTGGACCTGAAAGCTGGCAAGTATCACGTACCCTTGAAACCGGCTATGCTCTTGGACATTCGTATCGCAAGGAAAGCCTCTTCTCCATCACGAAGACGCAAGCGTGGTCATTTCGCTTCTGGCGTACCCGAACCTGCTGATTTACGAGGCCAAGGTTCGCAATCTGGCCCAGTCATCGGTTATGCCTTGGTTGAAAGCATGGTTTTTGTGATCCTCGATTCTCAATCATCGCCATCTTCTTCGGATCCGACATTTGCGGCGGCCTGGGTGGAAACCCAGTTCTCCATCATCTGTTGGCTGCTTGGAGCCTGTGCCGTCGATCCGGTTGTGCCAGATCCTTTCGCTGCGGCTCCTTTGCGTTTGACGACCAAGCAGAGAATTCGACCATAGATACTGAAGCCATCGTACGATGTATTGAGCATCAGTTTCTTCTTGTCTTCTTTGAGCCCTTCTACTTGATCATCTGCAGCTACTGCGGATTGCTTTCTCTTTCCTCGGCGAGACGAGGATCCCGAAGCATGCTCGGATTCGCTGGAATGTTCGTTTACAAACAGTCCTTCAGGACTGCCTGTTTGGTCCTCACCGCTGCCATTAGTCGGTGCTTCGGGAATGTCGGATAGTGAGAGCGGCTGGTCTCCTTCCTCATCCCTGATTGTGATTGTCTCTTGTGGTCTCTCAACAGCCAAGTCAAGTGGATTTTCGACGGTCTTGCCAGTGGTAAGCCAGCCGGTCAATTTGCCAGAGTTACTTTTGAGGCGGGGTTTATCGTTGAATCTCTTGTTCTTTGTAAGAAGTGAATGGGGCGTGGAATTGTCCGTTAGGAATATGGATACTTCAAAGTCATCTGCAAGACCCCATCAGTATTCATGGGAATGAGTCGTGGCAAACATGAGACCCTCAAGCATTGACTGCCTTTGGAATATGATGTCATTTGTCATGGTGATGTTTTATGCTTACCTCCAGTTACCACGTCCTTCACACCTTTTTTGCCTTTGCCTCTGCCTTTGATCCTTTCCTTTTCCTCCCACAACTTGGGGAGCACCAGAGGTCTCACCGCCTCGATGATGCGTGGCAAGGCTGGGTCGCTTTGGCGAAGCAGCCAAGGGTCGCCGTAGGCAGGGTTGTCGAGGTATATGCGCACTTCGAGGGCAGAATGCCCTGTGATTCGGAGGTAGCGGCGAATGGGCGCCATGCCGACTCGCGGGCTGGGGCAATGCGTGATGCGGTTGCAAAAGCTCCAGAAGGCCTTTTTCTTGGAAGCAGAGAGCAGCCGAAAGAGGTGAATCTGGATTTGAGGTCGTTGGATTGCGAAGATGGCGAAGGTGCGTGGTTGCGCAGCTGCGATGACGTTCGGAGGTTTTGCGGAGGATCTGAGCGTTCCGCCAAATGGAAGGGACAGGAGCTCCTCCCCTGCAACAAGACTCTTACTTCAACACCATCATCGCACCCACCCGACCCATATCATGGTTTTGGAGCTGCACGTCTGGGGTCCGGGCTTTGGCCTGCCGTCAGTAGACCCAGAGTGCATCGCCACCATTGCATACGCACAACAAACTCTGCGCGACGGAGCCTGGGCAGTTGTTGCAGCTCACGATGTTTCGCTGAGCCCGAACAGTGCGTGCGTCTCAGGAGATTTAGTTTCCCAGAGAGCCCCGATGCTAATGCAAAAAAATAAGAAGCCTTCCCTGCCCTGCGTAACGGTCCTACTTGGATTAGCGGATTTCATGCCATTGTGCAATACCTTCAAAAGCACAGCGCCATCGAGCGCAACCTCGACGAGGAGCTCAGCGAGAGGAGACGCGCCGACATCATTGCGTACGTGTTGGACCGCTTTCTCTGGCCACGCGACACTACTGATATGCTGTCTCTGCTAGTTACACCTCGTTTCTTCGCGCCAATGCGCTCCCTCTTGTCGACCTGAACCTCTACGTCTCATCCGCAAACTATTACTCGGCAACTTCCCCCGCGTTTACGGCCCTCCTCCCCGCGCATTTGAACTATACTGTCCCTGGGGCTCGCCGCGAGGCTGCGCGGTTGCGAACACAACATTTGGGTCTGGATGACCTTGACTTGGACAGTTTTGCGGACAACGAGGGTGTTGTGGAAGACAGCTTCTCAGCTGCGAAAAGAAATGCTGGCATCCAAGATCAAGGGCCAGCGCCATATCGCAACAGTCTGATCTTTGGCAAGGGCAGAGGGTTGAAGGGTTTTTTGCGACAGCCAGAATACGCGTCGCGCTTCAAGCTCGCAGCAGCTGCTAATGACTGCTTGGCACCGCTTGACGCCCTTCTCGAGGAAAAGGAGTTTTTGCTCAAGACCGACCACCCGACCACCCTAGATTGCCTGGCATTCGGATACCTCGCGCTCATGTTGTATCCTGACATGCCTTCTCCGTGGCTGTCAGATCACATCAGGACCCGTTATCTGCACCTTGAGGAATACATCAATCGCATGCGCTCGCTGACAGTCGGGGCGGAAAACCCAAAACCTTCGGATTTCATGGCACTGAACGACCTTCGCCGTAGCCCTGAGCTCATCACTCAGGGTCGCAGGGAGCTTGGCTTGCTGCTACCATGGGCACCGTCTGCGCCGGTCACGGCCACCGGCGCCATTTCAAACATTGTCCAAAACATCGCGGCGATGATTCCTGGATTGAATCGCTATATTCTCCCTTCTCCAGTCATTCCACCGCCAGGAAAGAAGCTGTATGCTCCTCCAGAACCATTGATTCACGGCTTCTCGACGTTCCTGGCTTCCGTTGCTGCAGGCATTCTCGGCGCTGCTTATTATGTCCAGTCTCATCCAAACCCCCATGACAAAATATTTCGAAATGAACAAGCGTATGAAAGGAGCATGAACAGATTTGCTGGCTTGGGTAATGCCGAGGGATTCTTGTCGGCCCTCGGAACGCATTATTCCCAGGAGATGGAGTGGCAGAGACAAACAGAGCAGCAAATCCAACGCGAAAGAGCTCAGACGGAGCCTATCGTCGAGGCTGGACTCACGTACAATAGGGTGGAAGGAAGAGTCGGTGAGAAGGGGGAGCCGGGGACTTCTTAGGCCAGGGCAGGATCCGGCTTGCTTTCAGGGTCATACTTGCGATTAGCGATTTTTCTTATCTTCCATCTCTACTCCTTGAACAGCAAAGAGATACCTGTGTAGGCCACTTGACTGTGTTAGATCAGCTCTCTGTTCACATTCAAGACCGGTCCGCCTCATATAACTGCTTTTCTGACTTGACTTCGGCGTGCGGGCGTTTTCGGCGAATGACTCGCCCTACTACTGAGCTGGTGCAGTAAATATTGATGATGACTCTATCATGGATGGGCGAGGACTCTGTTGGTACCACTCCGTTTGTACCTTACCTTGTAGTGTGTGGGGAATGAGCGAGTGACTTGAGCAAATCGTGCAATCACTTCCGCGCTTGAAATCCAACGCCCACTACATTTGCTCGTCGAGCAACGTCAGCTGCTCGGAGATGATGCTTCGGAAAGCTTTGCAGATAGCCTGTGATGCTCGAAGCATTGAAATTTGTCGCATGGATTGAAATGGGGTCGAGGTTGGCAGGAAACAAGGGCTCGGTGAAGTTTGACCACAGCAAAGCATTCATTCTGCCCAAGCCTCGCCTCCACCAGAGCATTTGAGGCTTGAATTTGTATGTGTACTTGGACTCCGCGCACGACTTTTTGCGTTGCGTTTTTGCGGATGTCTTGTTGGTGGTTTGGTAGCCCTGAACCACTACCGAGGTGACGCACCTACGCATCCATTTTCGCAGTCCTTTAAGAGCCCATACAACCACCCACGACATTCAAAAACTCTTAAATATACTCCGAAAGACTCGAAAAGTCGTCCCCTCGTTCGTTCGAGGTCTAGCAATCCGCCTGTGGGGTCGGGGACGCTGTGCTTTTCGCAGTTCCTCAATTTGTTTGAAAGATATAAATTCTTTTTCTCTCGGAGACTTTAGATTTCTTCAATGGTCTAGTGGTGATGATTTCCGCTTGTCAATATTCGTATTACAAGCGCGGGAGACCAGGGTTCGATTCCCTGTTGGAGAGAAATTCCATTCCTCATGATGAAGATGGGGTGATATTTTTGGTCGATAGAAAAGTTCTTTTTGTGGCCAGGGGAAGGGCGAAAGGGGTGGGGGTCAGGGGGATACGTGCCCCCCTGCGACATGGAGCGTTACTTCCAGACCGGGAAAGCATCAGGGAACGCTGTTCCACTTCAGGGAACGTTTGCGAACAGCTTCGCTCAAAGCTAAAAGCACATTTTCTACTTTTGCCACTATCTCTTGTATCCTGTTTATATGACCCATCATAATCCTACATCACCTTCGACATCTTTCGGCGTAATTAGTTTGGCTCAGTTATGGTCTCCACACATCAGAAAGGGAGAGAAGGAATACGTGGTCCAAGTGTAGGCCAGGACTGCCCTGCGCGCATGGCAGAGCGAAAACACACAAGCAATGCCTAACCAACGCTACCTGCGTTCATCGTTGCTCTACGAAGGAAAAGCAAATGCTGGAGAGCGAGGAAAAATTCAGGTCAGACGCAACAAAAGCTCGAGGCGGACGCTGACCAGGTCTCCCCCCTTGTTCCCCCGTCGCTAAGTAAGCCTTCCGAGGCTTGCGGACTGCTGTATACAGCGTGCAAAAAATCATCGACAGCAGAAAGCTACAGAACAAAGAATACTTCCAGATTTCATGATTCCAATCTAACCGACTAACCTTTTTACTACCAACCTTCGCTCTATTCATCATTACACAACTTCAACTACAACTTTCGTGCCTAAGTGGCTGTCAGAAAACGGTCTTCTCCAGGTGCATCTGCAATAGGCAACTGCAGTGCCCCAGCTTCCTCCGCAGCATTGATTGAATGCTGTCCAGGCGCAGCCCTGGCTCTAGGAGAAAATATTTCTCTCGACACTACCCACAATCGCGCCACGAGATCAGTCAATTCGAAGGGAAAGAGAATCAAAGCCAAAATCAAACACATTGTTGAAGCTCTTCTTCCCTACAATGCCGTTGGTCAGTTTCGTCGGCTGAGTAGGCGCAGCAGGCTTGACGCCATTTACTCCATTGTCTGCGCCCTGAACTCTATTTGTTCCATGCAACCCGTCTGATGCAGGTGCACCGTACGTGTGCAGCGACGCACCCGGAGCTGCAGATCCACGAGAGGCACCATTCGCATACGACCTGCTGGCAATGCTCGAGGCCTGGTTGCCGCTGGCCAAGCCGGAAGCCAGGCTCGAGAACGGTTTCGAGCTTCTCATGGGCGATGCGGCACCGACGACGGATGAAAAGGGCCTCGAAGCATACTCTTGCGTCGTCGGCGCCTTCCAAAGGTAGTTCGAGGCAGGATGGTCCGCCGCTGGAAGCTTCTGGCCTTTCTTGCCGGAAATGAATTCGCGCAGCGTGCCTCCCTGAGGACCTTCATGGAAGATTCCCCGTCTACGGAGCTCCGGGATCAAGAGCTCGGAAATGTCGACAAAGGATTGCGGCAGAATTGCGTATGCCTGAGTCGATGGTCAGCTCAGCTCAGCTCAGCTCAGCTCAGGCAAGTCTTCGCGCTTCTCGTCATGGGAAACTCACAATATTGAAGCCATCCAGATCCGACTCCTCGATCCAGCGTTCAAGCTCGTTGGCAACGTTCTCGGGTGAGCCGACAATCGTGCCTCCCAGCCCACCAATGGTGACGTTCTCAGCGAGCACCTTCTTTGTCCACTTGCCGACCTTTGGCTTGTGCTTGCCGAGCGCCTCCATGTAGCTGCGGATAGCGTTTGTCTCGACGACGCGCAGCTCTTCATCATCGTCATACTGGTTCATGTCGTAGCCCGTCCAACCGCCAAATAGGGCCAGCGCGCCCTCCGTGTCGCCATACGACGCGTACTCTGCAAACTTGGCTTCGGCCTCTTCTTGCGTCCGTCCCAGCACGATGCAAATCTTGCTCAGCACCTTGATGCTCTGCGGGTCGCGGCCGTACTTTTTGGCCTGCTCGCGGATCGTCTTGACGAAGTTGGCGCAGCTGGCCGGGTTGTGCCCCGATACAAACACCATTTCGGCGTGCTTGCTGGAGAAGGCCGTGCCAGCTTTGGACGTGCCCGCCTGCATGATGACGGGCACGCGCTGCGGCGACGGCTGGCAGATGTGCGGTCCGGGCACCGTAAAGTGCTTTCCTTCATGGTTGATTTCGCGGACGCGGCTGGGTTCGGTGTAGACGCCTGTCTTGCGGTCGAGCACGACGGCGTCTTCGCGCCACGACGACTGCCACAGCTTGTACACCACTTCCATAAACTCTTCTGCCAGGGCATAACGCTCATCATGGTCGGGCTGAGATGTCATTCCCAGATTCCTCGCTGCGGCATCCAGGTAGCCGGTTACCACGTTCCATCCGACTCTGTTTCACGTCAGACGTGTGTCCATTCCGTTAGACTGCATCCTTGAAACTCATGCCAAAAATGCAGAAATGACCATCATGGAAGAAGAGTCATCATAAGGGAAGAACAAAGCACAACTCACCGTCCCCCGGTCAAATGATCCAACGTACTCAACCTCCTCGCCAAATGATACGGCTGCTCATACGTCGTCGCCACGGTGACGCCAAAGCCCAAATTCTTGGTCTGCGCCGCCATGGCCGGAATGACCTGGACGGGCTCGTTGACAGGCCACTGGGCGCCAGACGCAATGGCCGGTTCGAGGTTGCGCGGCCCGCGATATACGTCGTAGCCGCCCAGCACGTCGGCGATGAACATGGCGTGGAAGCCGCCTTCGTCGAGCAGCTGTGCCAGCTTGATCCAGTGCTGCACACTGTTGAAGTTCATCGACTCGTCGTCCGGGTGCTTCCAGAGCCCCGGCGATTGGTGCCCGCTGCCTGGCTTTCGTGTTGGAGCATGTCCCTTTTTGTTGTAGAATGATGACTTACACATTTCCACAAAGGCATTGAGGATCATCTTCTTTTTGGGCTTCGCGCTGCCATTGGCGGTCCCGTTGGCTCCGTAGGAGCCGTTCGATGTTGCTGCGACCATCGTGGTGAGGCGTTTCCAGTTAAGTGTTCACTCGTTGCTAGACTGTGTTCCACGGCTACTCGAGGTCTGCAATTCTTAGACACAACTCGAGCCGAACACCTGAATCTGGAACACACCGACAATTGATTGCTCTCCAGATCAAAAGTCACGCGGTGTTCTTAAGCCATGGGCGGTTGGTGGTGATGACGAAACACACGTGACCGCTTGCACCATCGCATGCTGCGGAGTAGCGAGCAACAACCTAAATGCCTTTCAGTCGCAGATACACCCCTCCAGAGCCGCTAATTGGCAGGATTCAAAGGTGGGATGCTGCAAGCATAGGAAGCACCACTGGCCAGAGTTTGGACAAAGTTTCGCATCGCCAGCTTGACGTGGAATACCAACTGAATGAGGCAATCCGACGACCATGGGCCAAGAAGAAAGAAAAGAAAAGTCGTGCATTAAATCCCCCAGAACCCATTATCATGTTCTATGGAAAAGAAGTGGCGAGGAAATTCAATCCTCCCAAATCATGCGCCTCGCTATGCCTGATCCCGCGATAAAACCAGGGCGCAAAAGGCCGAATGTGCTCTCATCAAAAGACCGCCCATAACGTTGCATCGCGCAAGGAAAGAAAATCACCGATCCTGCTGTCTTTCACTCACTCACTCACTCACTCACTCGACTTGGACTGTCGAGCCATCCTGCGCCTGCAAGAGCTCCTCGCCACCAGCCTGGTCCCGTCCCTTGTTGGAGTCGACCGGCTCCAGACCAGCACCACTTGCTCCTCCTCCGTGCAGCAGATTCGACTTGCTCTGTTCGTGTGCCTGCGCCTGGGCTTGGACTGCCGTTGTGTTGAAAGCATGCCAAAAGTCCGGTGCCTGCAGGATGTATGTCGACATGGCGACACGGAATCTCTGCCGGTAGTCCTTGGGACTTGTGACTGTCGGCTTGTTTTTGCCACGATCTTTGATCCACGTTTCCAGTTTCTTGTCCCAGGTGTAGGTGCGGATGCAGTCTGTTCAAAATCTTAGCATCACAGACCAATTTTTGGCTTGGGTGGAAGCTTACCGATGATGCCAACGACGATTTCCCTGTCTGCATCGTTAAAGCCAGCCATCAGACTGTAGTCCATGACATTTTGCTTCGACAAAAAGAGCGTGTCGTTGTAGACACTCAAAGAGAGCGTCTTCTTGGTGTGCTCTCGAACAAAAATTGGCTTCTCGAAGATGATGTCAACCAAGTTTTCGTCAAGGAGCACCTCATCTTGCTCGCCCGTGCTCTGAATCTTTCTGTTGCGCATCGATCCCTTCAAGTCAAACCGCCTGAGATCGTTACCACGGTCGTAGAATAAATTCTCCATGACCAACATGAAGCAGTCAAAGTCCCGACCCGACGCTGGATTCTTAATGGTGACCTGGAAGAGGCCAAACATCTTGGCAATCACTGATGGCAGGTTGTTGAACAAGTTTTGATGGGTAAAGGAAAAGTAGTCGGGGGCAAACTTGAAGAAGGCATTGACCTCGACTGATGACAGCGACTTGAGCACAAAACGGTCGTCCAGGGTCTTGAGGAAGAGAGATTTTGTCTTGCCGCCCTTTGAATCCCACTTCAAGCAGCGAGACAGAGACTCGACAAACCGATCGGCGACGCCACACTTGCGGCGCAGAGCGTCGAACGATTGAGCATAGAAGATTTTGCACGTGGCCCGAACGCCTCTATTTTGGAAGACGTACTTGATGTTGGTGTTGGACTTGTGCCTAAGGTTCCGCTCAATGTTCTCGTCTTCAACAATGGCCGGGTCGTACTCGCTGGATTCGCTGACGGCTGGCTCGAACCGAAACTCTTTAAGCTTGGCCTGATAATCTGCACTGGACAAGGCCAGCGCAATAATGGAACTGGGCTCGTCCTCGCGCACAATAATGTCCGAGTCTTCCCACACATGCTCAATGGGGGCGAATGGGTAGTCGAGAGGGGTCCAGCCGCTTGCAGAGCGTTCTGACCAGAAGTTGTTGAGCATCTTCATCATAAAACTCTTTTCGTGCTTGGGCAG